TGACTAGAGAGGATACGGCCTTAGAGGCGTTCAGGCATAATCCCACGGATGGTAGCTTCGCACCACCGGCCGCTCGACCGAGTGCGTGAACCAAATGTCCGAACCTGCGGTTCCTCTTGTACTGCGCAGGATTACTATCACAATGACTGGTCATCAGTAGGGTAAAACTAACCTGTCTTACCACGGTACCCCTTGCGTTGGAGCGCCTCAGCAAGGGGAAAATACTTGGCAAATTTTCTCTCCCTTGCGTCCTTGAACCCCTGCCAACGGTTTTCAAAGGGCACCGTCACGTCGCATATGACGACACTCTTGGAGGGCTCGTGCCTGATCACAAAATCAGGTCGTAGCCCCTCAAGTTTTCCAGAGGCGGTGCAGGACGGCGTCGTGCCCCATCTGTATGACGGCAGAATGGACGCCGCAATAATTAATTACGTGGGGAAGGGTTTCGACTGCCCCCCCCCCCGCAACGCCGACACCTCTTGTCCGGCTCCCCCCAACGGCATGCACCGTTGAGCGGGAACACGTCCAGCTTGGCGCGGTGTATAAAACGCCAATCGGCGAAGCGAGTGAAGCTGCCATTACGGACGAAGTGATTGCTCGCCCTTGCCCGCAGCGACACCTCGAACACCTTCCCCTGATCGGACTTGCTTAACAGCCAGTCTGTATAATATTCTATCTATATATGGGAGCGAACCCCTGGTGGCATTTTCACCGTCGCACCCCGGCATACCACCATTATCTCCTCGGTAGCCGCACACCATTCCCACCGGAGCGACAATCTCTCGGACGGTCTCCGCGCGGCATTCCGAGCCCTCGACCACAGCAAGCGCTCCCCGCCCTCTCGCATCCGACCCTCGAGCAAACCCGAGAGGAAAGATGCGAGCTGCTCGTTACTGGGAGGATAACCGGATACGCCTAGCTACAACCCCACGCAGCGACGCCTACGCGAGCCCCCTGACCGTCCCATCGCTAACCGTAAGCATACGGAAAGCGTGCGCGACGGACAGAACGTCCGCGAGGTCGGTGAGCGGAAGCAGTCCGCAACCCCCTCCCCTCCGGCTGAAAGGTAATTCTGGTTCCGCGCTTGCACGCTGCGGGAGATTGAGCCAGGCCTTAGCGGCCCTCCGGACCATTTTGTCCACAGCTACAAGGGGACGCTTCTCAACTGCGGCCCCCCGAAGCAAGAAGTCCATCCGCGGCAACAGGTGTGTTGCAACGACTTCGACTCTCTGCCACGGGGTGAGCAGGGATCGATCTACCGCCCCGAGACTCCCGATAAGACCATCAATGGTTTAGAATGGTGTAGCGTCGACCGAGAATCCCGTAGGCACACCCAGATGTCGGTAAGACTCGCCCTCTGTCAGATGATGGACAGGCTGTCCCTGGATTTCAAACGTTGTGGGCAGAACCCTGCTGCCCGCCCCCGCACCGATGTGCAGGGTGGCACATTTAGCAGGGTTGAACCGCAAACCCACCGACAACGCTGCGTCCTCTACGGCGGCAAGAAGCCTCCGCATTCCCTCGGGCGTATCGACAACGAGTGCAATGTCGTCCGCGTACGCCAAGCTATTGAAGCGTGAGCCCAATAGTTCCAACCCCGCATCGACAGCAGCAACTGCACGCAGTACTGCGTCGATCCCGAAGTCGAAACCAATCGGGCTCCACGGACAACCTTGCCGAACCCCCGAGCGAACAGGGATAGGCGCGGTGAGCCCGTCGACCGCTTGCACTCGCGTGGAGCAACCATCATACATGGACTTCCATATGTTGATGATGCCCCCCCGGCACCCCGGCGCCAACGAAAGCGCGGCAAATCGTCGAATAGGGGATCGAACCAAACGCATTGGCGAGATCTAACCATGCAACGACTACCTGCCGCCGAGTACTCCGGCAGTGCGTCAGGATCTCCTAAAGGACGAAGTTGTGCTCATAGCACCCCTCGTCCCGCAAGAAACCCTTTTGCGCCGGACTAATTTTTTTATACTTGATCGCCCAATCGGTCATACGATCAGCGATAAGCGCCGCAAAAGCTTGGGGGTCGTGTCACCCAACGCGAGAGGGCGCCAATTATTAAGATTATCCCAGTCGCCTTTTTTGTAAACCAATACGGTCTTGGAGATCTTTTAAGATGCGGGAACTGCCTCGAGCCTGAGGCACGCATTGTAACATGCGGTGAGGAGCCGCATACCAGGATCCGCTGCACGCAAGTTACGGTATGTGATACCATCAGGATCCGGCGCAGAGTTCGTCATACGCCGGACCCGACGATGCACCTCTTGCTGCGTGAAAGAATCCATGAAGCCCGTATCAGACTACCGACTGCGAAGGCCGACCCGACTGCCGACTCTAATCGGTCAATCACATTTTCTCAATTTGTCACCGATAGTCGCTGATGCTGACTGATCGTATTAAGAGAATTTTAAGGTAACATCAATGTTACCGAAAAGAAAGTATTCCTTTCAAAATATGCAAAATTTGAAAAAACGAAAGAAACTTATTGTTCTTCTATGTTTCGTGGTTATAATAGAAGAAATCATCCAATATAAAAAGCAAAGGTTATGGGTAAAACCATGGATAGCACGGAGGCAAGAACAAGGAATACATCACAACCTTTTTGCTGAGTTAAGTCTTGAAGATCCAAACAAGTTTCGCAGGTATTTTAAAATTAAAAAATTAAACATTTTAGGTATTATAACTTATAAGAGTAGACGTGATATAAAATTCTTGTTTTCATTTTGAACAGATGTTTGAGAATGGACACTGCCACCTTTGAGGAGCTTTTTCATAAAGTTGCACCTTTAATTATGAAACAAAATACTCATCTGAGAAAAAGTATCCCACCAGCAGAGAGATTATCTCTTACTCTGAGACATCTTGCCACAGGTATTTATTCTCACCAAATGAAATATATCACTTCTCTTAATGTGAATGGTTGTACAAGGAATATTACATAGAAATGCTGAAAGCTTTGTAAGTTCGTGCTTTAATTTTTTTTAGGTGAAACTCAAGAAAGTTTATCTTTGTCTTTTCGATTGGGACAAAGTACTATATCTGGAATTATTCGTGAGGTTAGTACAGCATTACTGACTGTATTGAAGGATGATTTTTTGTGTTTTCCAACTTCTGAAGAAGAATGGCGGATTGTTGCAAATGAATTTGGAGAGAAATGGAATTTTTATAACTGTGTGGGAGCAATGGACGGAAAGCACGTGAAAATTGATCCTCCATTGAAATCTGGCTCTTTGTACTATAACTACAAGGGTGATTTCAGCATTGTTCTTCTCGCGGTTGTTGATGCAAATCTAAGATTTATTTATATAGACGTTGGAACAAATGGACGCATAAGCGATTCTGGAGTGTGGAACAAAAGCACCCTGAAAACCAAATTGGATGATAAAACAATTAGATTTCCAAAAGCATCTCCACTCCCTGGTTTAGATATCTCTTTTTTATTTGTATTAGTTGGTGATGAGGGATTTCCTTTAACAACAAAGTTGTTGATTCCATACCCTGGAGTTCAATGCAGTAATCGGAAGGACAGAAGAATCTTCAATTACAGGTACAAATTTCAAAAATTTTTTCACATATTAAGTTTTCTGAAAAAAGAATAAATATACTGATGTTTTTATTTACAGATTATCTTGTGCGCGTAGATGTTCCAAGAATGCTTTTGGCGTATTGGGTGCACGATTCCAAATATTTCGGTCTCCTATGCGATATGACCCTGATATTGCAAATCTCATTGTTCAATGTTGCTGCTGCTTACATAATTTTTTAAGATCAAAAGTCCTAGGAAGACATTTATATACTCCTGAAGGCATGTTAGACACTGAAGATGTACATAGTGGAGAAGTACAACTTGGAGAATGGAGGGAAGAACCTATAGGCGGTATTATGAATTTTGTTAATCAAGGAGGAAATCGACATACTAATGCAGCTATTAATTTGCGAAACGAATGGTGTGCCTATTTTAATGGTATTGGTGCAGTACCATGGCAAGACCGGATGATAAAATAAATTTGATTACTTTATTAACTTAATTAACTATAATTATCAATATAATATTAATAAAATACTATTATGTATGATGTATAGAAATAAATAAACAGTTTTATATATATATTAATTATGTTTATTTTATACAAATTGGCACAGAAGAAATCACAGATAAGATTGCAATTACAAAATAAACAACTATTATAACTACAAGATATAGAAACATAAACTGATTTTTCTAGTAAAAATGTAGTTTTCCATATCTATTCAAATAAAATTGTTGGGAAAAGAAGTACAAAAATGAAACAAAACACTGAATATTGTCCAACTCTTAGAGAGAATTTACACCTTGGCAAAATAGCAGAAAGCAGAAAAGCAGAAATCAATCAGCTGGAAAACTGTCGCTAGTACCTAGTCTGCTTACTATCAGCGCGAGTTCTGATTGGCTTCTGCTTTTCTGCTTTCTGCTTTCTGCTTTTCTGCCAAAGTGTGAGTTCTCTATTAAACAACACAAATTATTTATATAGAAACGAATTATTTATATTAAATGAAACACTTTGTGTAAACATATATTTTTATATCACTAAGTTTGGCTTTGGATTGGAAGTCGCGTTCTATTTTATTTATAATTCCATATTTAGAAAAGCCAAACAACCCAGAAGCCAAACCTAGGAACCTTGAACCTAGGAACCTAGAAACCTTGTGCTAGGAAAGCGTCATACCACATATACTTTTAACTTCTCTTACTTTAGTACATAAGTTATAATATAATACGTAAGTTTCAATACTGCACGTATTTATCTTTATAAAAAATACATTTCTAATTATTTTTTAAAAAATAATTAATATCTTTTTGAAAGATTCTGATAGCCTCGTGACTAGTAAATAAGTAAAATATAATATTAAATAAAATAAAAATATAATATTAAATAAAATAAAAATAAGGTTAGTCAAATAAAAACAAAGCAAGAAAAAATGTCAAATTGTAATAAAATTTAGAGATATTAGGGAATATTAGTAAAAAGTTTCATTATTTCTAATTCAATTTTTTGCCATTGCTCTGCATCCAGAGCTCTTAAACGAGCCGCACCATAAGCACCAAAATGATCATGTGTATCCATTTGGACAGTGGAATCTTTTGATAATTGTTTCATAGCAGAAACTGCTTCTTCCATAACATTTGATGTATTACCGCTACTTTTTTTTCCTCTTTTCACGAATAAATCGCCATCCTCAATACTAGAATTAGAACGCTTTGTGCTAGTACTTGCTGGATTAGCACTGGCACATCTAGGTGCAGAAGTAGACTTTGAAGATACTGATAGAGGCCTTGGTAATGGCGATGGAGATTTTGAAAGCACCTGTGAACTTGGATACTGCTGTTGACAAAGAACAGTGGTTGTATTCTTATTTTTATCACCACTATCAACCAGCTCAGTATATTCTTCAGATGGTTGGATGTCCTTTGGAATCAATAACCATTGCTAATAACAATAACAAATTATTTGTAGAATTTATTCTATATAACCTTACTTTTACAGTATATAAATATCATTATTTTATACACTGAAATTATACTCACTTGTAATGTCTCATCAAAGTACGCATTATGATTTTCTTCTAAAATTATTGTCGATTCAGTGTCATCAGATGTCAGATGTGAGTCTACACACTCATTTGTAACATCCAAATTTGAACTGCTACTTGCTTGAACGCAATTTTTTTTCAGAAACGTTAAAAGGGGATAAAGATCCCATTTTGGTTGAAAAATGTCATCTGATCCTTTCCTACTTCTCATTGATTGTTTAATTTTGTTATAATTTCTTTGATAAGTGGTTCTCATATTATCAAAACGATCTTTTACCATCGTTGCTGAAAATAAAAAAACAAATTACATATAACACCGTCGTATGTACATATAATACTTTACACGATATTTAACGCTAGTATATATTGTAACGTCGGTTTTTATATTATGTGATCAGATTACAAACTATTGTATAAAAGGTTATTTTTTATTTACCGTCAACGCAAGTGCCTAACTTTTTCGCTATTTCATCCCATTGGATTGACTTTTTATATGCCTTCGCATAATCAGGGTGCGATGGATCCCACAGCTGAGGTCTCTCTTTTACCTCTTGAATTAAAAGTATCTCGCTATCGCGAGACCACACGTATTTTTTACCGGCCATCTTTCATCGTCGTTTATTCACAACATCACAACTAAACTATCACGTGATCGAAAATTGTACTTCTATTGGTTCCGACTTTGAGTCGTTGAGTCAAGAAATAGACCAGGGTCTAAATGCGAGTCGGCCGATCCAGTCAGTCGGCGCCTCGTTGTGATTGGCTAGATGTGAGTCGGCAGTCGAGATCGGCAGTCAGGTCGGCCTTCGCAGTCGGTAGTCTGATACGGGCTTGAGATATGCAGCATGACTGACTCAAGGGGACAGGCTGCTCCACCTCCGCATCAGGGTTGGGCAGATCCTCCCCTCCGCAGTATAGTCTTTCAAAATACTGCTGAACCCGCTCCTTCGGCACTTGTCAGAAGTCAGCGGGTCCTTGCAGAACCTCTCGGACCGCTTTGCGTCGGTTCGCCCTGTACAGAGCCTGAATGCGGGTCGCTTCGCGCACCCAGTCGCCACGCCTTTTTCCCAACTGCGAAGGAGGACCGGCCGGTGCCGGTCCTTTATTATCATTGACGCCGTCTCGCCCCGGGCGATCCTCCTCGCTCCGTCGGGCCCGCGCCTCACGCGACCGATGTGAGCGATTGCGAGCGCCGGGCGCACCGCCGCGCGCCACACCCGATGCCTCGCCCGAAGAATGCCGCGACCGAAACCGCGAACTCCTCCAGGTCCGCAATCGAGGCAACGGCTTCAGCCCGCCCGGCCAGCTCGTCGCAAGCAGCCATGCGTGCCTCCTTGTACCGCTTTGCAGCGGCCGCAGAGGCCGGTCGGCCACTGGACGGCTGGACAGGCGAAGCCTCTACACGCTGCGGACGTCGGCCGTGCCCCCCGCCCCCGCGTTGGCTGTTGTTGGCCCTCGGCGGTGTCCTGTCGCCCACGCCGGAGCCGCCGGTTACGCATGCCCGCGCATGCCCGCGGCCGACGACCCATCACGCCCCGGACACTTACGGGAACACTCGGATGTCCAGATATAGCTCGATCCTCAGCACGCTGACCCGCTGCTCCCACGGATTCGTCTCTCCGCCTCATAGGGTCCGCCACGCTCATATCTGGAAAATTATTATTGTTAACATCGCATAATAGGTCAAAATTATTAATAGAAAAATGATTCGCCGGCGTTATTGGAGGCGGGCTGCCGCCCCCGGAAGAACCACCGCTCGGCCGTCGCCTCGCTCTTCTCCCCGGGCGCACCATTTTCCACGGCGCACCAGTCCCCTTCCTCTTCAAGTGATGGCGCCGCGCTTTCCTCCTGCCGCTGCTCCTCCTCCCTGGGTGGTGATGGGGTAGCCTGAGGCCACGTCCGTATCTCCTCGCACGGTGACGCCACCCTCTGTATCGTCAGGAGGGGGGAGAACGGGGCGGTGTGCTCCGTCCCTCCGCGGCGACCCCCGTCGACATGACGGGGGACTCGCACATGGTGGTCGTCACCGTGCATGTTGTCAGGGTGGCTGGCAGTGATGTCGCGTGCGTGATTGGTGGTATGAAAATCACGCTGGGGACCCCCACCGGGCTGTCGCTGATGTAGATTGGTGATCCGGGAGTCCCTCTGAGGGGCGGGGTACTTTGTTGTGGAGGGGAGAGTGTTTTCACCTCCCTCCTCTCCGCGACACCCCTGGCCTCTGATGGACTGGCCAGGGTCGCCCGCCCTGCGCTCTTCACGATCGGCACGCTGGGCGCCCGAGATTCCGTTATTGCAGCGGGCCAGGCTGTGATTGGCCCGGGCCCCTCGGGCGTCATTTTCCTTCGCTGGGTGCCCCCCCCCCCCCCGCCGCCGTACGCGGATGGTGGAGTTACGGCGGCGAGTAATATCCGGGGGGACACGCGTGCCGTCTGGGAGCGCGCATCTTCTCGAGAGGCACGCTTGCCAACCTCCGACTCTTTGTGCCCGTTGTCGTAGACCTCGCCGTCGTGGTGGTGGGTGGCGAGGTCTCGGAGGTCGACCTCCTCCTCGTTGTTTCCCCAGAAGATGTGTTTCTGGGGAATATAATGCGTGCCTCTCTTACTATTGGCGGGTCACTGCCATTGGTCGAGCCACCCGTGCGTTGCGGACGCGCCTTAAGGCTGGTAACCGCGGCTGCTCGCGGTGCGGCGCTCCCGCTACCGCGGCGCTCCCGCTACCGCGGCTGGTGACATGGGTTGCGGCCGTCTTCCTCCGTGTACCATGTGCCGCCGCAGCTGTCACCGGCGACAAAGGTGGCCGCGCCGCCGGGGATGCTGCGGTGGTGACGGCCGCATACGTGGGGGATTCACTTGCTCCTGCCGATGATGTTGTTGCAGGTGGTAGTGTACATGGTGCTGGTGGTGGTGCTGCTGCCGCTGGTGATGGTGCGGCAGCCGTGGAGGTTGCTCCCGGGTGGTCGTAAGTCGCACGTGTGGCGTCGCGGCGGCACTCCGGAGGACGACTGCGACGGAGATGGAGTCGCCGCGCTCGACGACGATGCCCGCCCCCGCGTTTGCGACGATGTTGTCGGCCCACCATTATCGCCGTTCGGCATGCGACCCGACTCTTGGAGAACACCGTGCTTCTTCTCAAAATGAGATTTTACGTTCCTTAAAGGCACAGTTGTTCTACCGATATAACCATAAATTGAGCATTTATATGTTATGGCCCATCCAACACCGGGGACAGCGCACTTTCTCCGATATTGGATAGTCGAGAACGATGACATGCGGCTTTTCACCGCGCGCCTCTGCCATGTTAAATATTATGGATGAAATAGGCAGAAATGGGTATAAATAAATAAATAATTAAAATAAATTATGTACGGCGCCCCCGGAGACGCCCGGAGAGCGCGGATGCAACGGGCCGCTCGCAATGTATAACCTAACTCTGTTACAAGCACCACATGGCACGTGCTCCGAAATTAGGAGACACACCGCGAAAGACACCCTTCGCACTCACGATCACCGTACGCACCGGGTGATGCCGCGGAACTTGGGCGCGCGGTCCCAGGGCGAGCAGTCGCGGCACTTCACTTTCACGCTTCGCAGCACTAAAAACTTATTTCCCCGGGAATAACGCTTCGCAGTATAAGTTTCGACGCTTTTTTCCCCAGTCTCGCTATCCGGAGAAGGGCTATCATGGATTGACGCAAAGTTGCTGAGACACAACATAATTGGGCGCCAAGTGCGACGGATCGCACCACCGTATTCTACCCTATACAGCACGATATTTCCTACGATACCTCAGGGTGTAGCTTCTTGTTCGTGGAAATTTGGAGAGGAGGCGTGACATAATTAACCGAACACAACTTAACAGAAATAGAATAACATATATTTAAAATCAGAGAAAGAAATATAGCACAACCTCACAAAAAAAAATGAAATTTTTGTCCGGCGGACCGGACTAGTCAATTCTTACGTATTTTGGGTCGCTGAATCCGAATCCGAGGTCAGAATTCAAAAGTTGGTTCGTTTTTTTTCTAATCTAAAAAAATCATTACTTTTTTAGTACATTTTGAGCCGTAATTAAAAAACGCAAACTAGCTTCGAGATTCTGACCGTGGATTCGGATTCAAAAGCTTGAATTACATAACAATTGACTAAATTTTTTAATAAAAAAAATGGCAGATCCAATATGGCGGACCCAATATCGTGGATGTTTCTTCAAATTGATCCGATTTGCTTGAAACTTGGTACTCGGGGGTTTTTGTGGTCGCTGAGTACAAATTTGATGTCAGTTTTCCAAAATTCAAAATGGCAAATCCAGTATACCCAATGAGTTTTTGAAAATTGACCAGATTTGCCTAAAAATTGTTACTCGAGGGTTTTCGGGATCGCTGAATACGAATCTGACGTCAGATCATAACATAATTACATTAAAAATGCAGTTTTTCCCACATGACTCTGAGAAAGTACAAATCTTATATATATATTTGACGTCCAAGACCACAATAGAGTCAAAGTATATCCATAACTTGATTCTTCTGCAACCTGGGTACCTCAACGTGGTGACGGTGGGCAACGGATTTATTCCGGCGAAATTCCTGGGTTAGATACTTGACGCCGTCATGGCAGAGGGTAACAACCTTTTAACGATGCAGGGTCTCGGAAACCCAGTATCGGCGACTGGTCAGGATGGCTTCCGAGATCGACTGTGGATGCGATCTTACGCATTCGGGCCCTCCTGGAGGCCGCGATGGAGGCCGACAGGGTGGTGTTGGGCGTTAGCTTTGATGTAGCTAACGCCTTTAACTTTCTGCCGTGGCCAGTGATAAGGAGGGCGCTAAATCACCACGGCGTCCTTTCTTATCTAAGGGCAGTCATACATGACTACCTCCGGGACAGGAGGCTCTTGTACACCGACCGCGATGGTGTAGTAAGGGTCGTGTTGGTCGTGCGGGGGGTTCCACAGGGGTCAGTACTTGGCCCACTTCTGTGGAACCTGGGGTATGACTACCTCCTCCGGATCGCTTTCCTCCCGGGATGTTGGCTAAATGGCTTTGCCGATGATACATTCCTGGAAGTCGAGGGTGATACTTGGGATGAGAACCGAGAAAAGGC